CTAAAATCGTTGTCGATACCTAAATGAAAATGAGAAGAAATTGCTATGAATTTTTTTATGGGATTTCCTCGATCTAGACCTGGTCACAACAGTATTTGGGCTATTATTGGCAGGTTACAAAGTGCTCATTTTTTCCCAATTAGACGGACATATTCAGTGGAAAAGTTAGCTAGATTGTATGTCAAGTAAATTGTTAGATTGCATGAAATTCCCAAATTTACTGTTTCTAATAAAGATGCAAGATTTACATCCATGTTTTGGAAAGTCAATTTGACAAGATTTGGGTACTCTGAAATTAATTCTACTTTACCTCAAATTTTGCATACCTAGAAAGAAACAAATCATTTTTATATAATTTCATGCATGAAGTTGATCAATTTCATATAAAATACTACATATTAATTATTATCGGATTGGGAGGTATAAAATTTCGACGCTATAAGTATAGTAAAATTAATTCTACTTTAATGATTTTGCATGAAGCTCATCAAACATGCTACACAATTCATTCAATCAACACAAGCATGTATAAGGAATTGAAGTTGACATTTTGGAAGTATAGTAAAATTAATTCTACTTTAATGATCCCTAATCATATCATTAAACCCACAACTCTACTGTTCCCATCCGACATTTCATGCGATATTTAACACTAGGATAGAGTCAGTGTGTTGAATGCATTGTATTTCCTCAGGGCTTTGAATTTCCTTCCACTCTTTCAAATCCCTTCTCCTCTCTCTCCCAAATTCTCCGCTCACGAGTACCTTCCCTGCCCTCTCTTTGACCGATTTCGCTAGTTTGGAGGATCTAGTGAAGGCTTCGGCTCAGGCACTATGGCCAGGTCAAAAGCAAGCAAACCGAGAAGTGCACAAGAAAACTGTAGCTCGCAGCTTAAGGCTTCAGGGTCAAATTTAAAAGGAACGAAACTAAGTTTAGCGTCTTTTGAAACTTTCAATTCCTTAAAGGGGAGTCAATTGAGGTGTGACATTATAATATTTTAAATAATTATTAACTTTACATTATTTAAGTATAAAATTTAACACTGTTATTGCCGGTCCCAATCTCAGATGTGAAAAGTGGAGGGTTGCGTTAGATAGTCGGCGGCCAGCGTAAAACTTGTGGAAAAAATCATGACATGAATCCTTTTGATCATGTCAAAACAAAGAGAAAAGAAAAGTAGTCAAACAAAAAGAAAAGAAAAGTAAAGATTTAACTCGACTAAAGAAAAAAAAGAAAAGAAAAGTAAAGATTTAACTCAACTAAAGCGTATTAAAGATGAAATTCAAAAAGTATTTTTTTTAGAAAAATGTATTCAACATAGATGTGTGAGTTATTTTGATAAGCTTTTTAATGAAGTTTCTGAATATACAATCGACCATAGTGATCTTAATATCGTTAATAATAATAAAACGTTTCATTTTTACCGTCGCATTAGTAAAAAAAAAATTGAATAGGCTTTAAAGAAAACCAATGGTGGAAAGTCTGTTGACCTAATGGTATGACAATTGAAGTATGGAAATATTTAAGGGATTTGGGAGTTCCTTGGCTTACTAAACTCTTTAATATAATTTTAAAAGCTAAAAAGATGTCTGAGGAGTGAATGAAGAGTATTTTAGTCCCTTTTTTAAGAATAAAGGGGATGCACAAGAGTGTGCAAATTATAAAGGGATTAAGTTCATGTGTCATACTTTAAAATTATGGGAGAGGGTAATCGAACATAAGTTAAGACATTACAAAAATTTTTCATAATCAATTTGAATTTTTGCCGAGCAGGTCTACTATTTAATGGCACAGTTAAGTATGAGCGTTCATAATCAATTTGGATTTTTGCCGGGCAGGTCTACTATTTAATGACACAGTTAAGTATGAGCAGAAGAGGTAGAATACATATTTAATGGCTTAAGAGTTACTTTAATGAGAATTTGAGTCTATATGCAGCTCAAGCATAGGTTGTACCAAAAGATAATGAATACCTATTTTACCAGGATGTGCTCCAAAATGAGAATGCTTATAAGATTGACTTGTCGAAAGATTGCAATATTTCCATTACTTTCAACGTGTCCAATCTTTCACCATACTACGAGAAAATAGAAGCTTCAACGAATGAGATCGACGCTCCCACAACCCCGGGAGACTAAAGTGAGGCGTCCCACCACGACGCGGGTGTTCGCCAACATACCTGAACCAAACTAGTTCAATTATTTCCTTGTTTGGAATATCGATCGGTCCTCTGGGCCCACTCCTAGTTATCCTATTATTATAAATTTGCTTTCGTAGAAGTATAGGGTTAATTTGTATCATGTGTTTGTTCGCGACAGCCGCAGGCGACCCGATTTTCCAGTATGGAGATATATCCAAGGGTTGAGTGTTGCTCTGACTGTATCTTGATCCAAAGGTGGTGGTTATGTTTCGCCAACCCTTCCCCTCCCTTTCCATGTCGCTACCTGTCGCCCAACCTTGCTGTAGCAGTCCCCAAAACAGCTGTCCTTGCTGTTTTTGCTGCAGTTCTCCCCTTCCCAGCTGCTCTTCCCTTCCTTGTCCTCCCCACATCACTCCCAACCAACCCTTCCTTGCTTCCACTGCCCAAAATCACCTCCCCACAGCCTTGTTGCTGTTGCAACCGCCCAAAAACGCCCTTCCGGCAGCCTTGCTGTTGTTCCAGCCGCCCAGAACTGCCTCCCTGTTTGTTGCTGCCCCAGGACAGCAAGTTAATGCTGTCTTACACTGTTTTAGACTGCAGTCCAGCCGACCTTTCCAGTTTGCAGTTGCCAGGACAGCAAGCAACTTCTGTTTCGCCGCCATACCTGCAACTTGCTCCACTTCCCCATCTTGCCACCACCCTTCCATGCCCTTCACACCCACCCCAAACCCCAAACCCCAACAACCAACACATCCCCACCAACCCCACCTTAGATTCGCCCCAGTCGTGTTCTTCATGTCATGTCTTTTTTCAATATGATACTTTAACTTGTTTGGTTGTAAGTTTCTATTTGATTTCAACAATAATATTTGGTATTGCCGTTGTTTTGCTTAATCCAGGTATCATCTCCATTCTACTAGTTTGCATCAATGACAAAGTGAGAACAAGAAGTAACTTAAAAGGTATGAAAACTTCAAGGAAAAGGTTGTTCTTAGAGTTTATATTAAAAAAAAACTGGGTAGGCAAAATTACTTTCTATTACGACTGACACCCTTGACATGGTATCTTTACATCATAAAAATATGTAATAAATATATTGAAAGAAATAGGCAAGTTGAGATGTATCTTGTTGAGTTACTCATAAAATTTTATCATAAATTTGAAGATACTCTAGAAGAGTGCCATAGAAAAAACTTGTTATAAAAAACTACTAAGAAGGCTAATCCAATGGTACGCGCTAAGACTATTTATGCAAGATCTATGGTTTATAACAAGTTAACTTCGAGTTATTCCACATTTTTAAGAATTAACCCCATAATTTGTAGAAAATAAAAATAAAATGTGATAGCAAGAACTAACATGGAACAAAATTTAAATATATGGTACTAAGAATCCATTGACTATGAGGGCTAAAAATTATCAAAGATTTAATGGATAAGTCCCATTTAGTTCTATAATGAAAAAAAGCCAACCGTCAATATTGATATAATCTCATGCAACAAAACTGACATGGGGCTGCAAGAGGGGTTGAATCGGGCAATAAGTGGCTGCTAGTTCAGTAGGGAGGTAAATCGGCCGACCCTTATTAGGGTAGGGAGGGTTGCCGCCTCCTCCATGTCCCCTCCCCTCTCCTAATTATCATAGTTTATTATAAATATGTTGTGATTTGGGTTTAGGGTTTAGTTTTGATTGAGTTTTCTATCAGAACAGCCACCGGTGTCCGATTTCTCCCTACCTAGGGCTGTATCCGAGGACAGGTGATGCTCCTGCTGTATCATGCTTCGAGGAAATGACTATTCCTCGTCCTGCTCGCTGCCCTTCCACCTGCAGCCCACAGTTTTCCTGTTCCCCTCTGCAAATTCCATTTCCCTCCACTACTACTGCTGCAATCCCCTCTTACTTCAATTGTCAATATCATAAACCCTTCCTGCTCCACTCTTATTGTGTAATCCCTTCTCACTTCCGCTACTGCTGCCTTAGCCTCATGCCACCTGTTACTCTCACAACCCCTCCTACCTCCCCACCTATTACCGTGCGCCTAGCACCCTGCCCCTCTTGCGACCACCTACCTATATTGGCCTCCCTTAGGGGATCGTGTGTGTTTGGTGCTGTTTTATTTCTGTTTTAAGAGCTGTTGTTGTACCTCTTTTAATTTTAGCAATAATAATTTCATTTCTATTATATTTTGGGCTTACTCCGGTATCAATAACTCAACAAAAAAAATATTAAAGTAGATGAGCATTTATAAAAAGAAAAACTTGATAGTGATATAACCAACACTTAATTCATTGCCATAGGAATAACAGAAACAAGAACTCCTAGACATTCGCACAAAATGAATATCAGGAACAATATTTTAAAAACTAACAATGCAAACTTAGAATGGATAGCATCCATTCAGGAACAATATTTTAAAAACTAACAATGCAAACTTTGAGTTTTGAACTAAATTTCCTTGAAGTTTAGAATCGAAACTAACATTGCCATTGAGTTTATATTCAGTTGAAAGAGACTGAAAATTTCAATCTCCATCAATGTTCGACCGAGCTCAATAGTTCTTGGACTTTCTTATTCAATTCATGCCCACCCCGGTGACTTGTGGGATTAGTATTGCAACCTCATAAATCTGTTGACTATTAAAATATAATTTTGCTTATAAATCCGTGCATATTTTAATTATTCAATCTTGATATTATATATTTCCTATTAGAAGCTCTCCTAGGATTTTATTAATACAATACAAATATTAGAATAAAATACTCAACCAATTCTCTCCAATTTTTATCAACAGGAAAAAAAAAAAAAATGGTGAGCAATACTTTAGAATTTACACCTAAATATCAGAAAGTTAGGAGAATACCTCATCTCTCTCAAGGACCATCCTTGGTCGATGTGAATCAGACATGCTTTGGGGGGCAGAAACAGGATAATTTGCTTGCGTAGGAGTTTCCTGTAGTTATAAATGCACCATCAAAAAATTCTAAAAAAACTGAAAACAAGCACCGAAGTAGGAGCACAGTTGTGTTTTTTATAAATGAACTTACAAATCCAAGAATTCTTTGGGTATCCGAAAGCATGAGCCCACTGGTATACTTCTGTTTTTATAACAAGAAGCTTAGATCTCATTAGACTAATTAATAAGAAACGTTGATAACAATGGATAACACATGTCACCTAGTAAGGGGTGCATCCATAACGTAAGGAAATATATTTCATTTACCTCTGGGAAATGTTTTGCAACAGTAAAGCTATTCAAGGGAGACTTGTCCATAGAGTTTTGCCTTAGGATGTGGTTTTCATCTTGTAAATTAGACAGCTTCTCTTCCAAGCTGGAACACAAATAAACAACGCCAGAAAATGGCAAAAACAGGCATAATATTACAAAACACTAATTCAGTAAAAGCATTTAATCTGAAAGTGTGAAGGAGAAAGATACCAGCAGCTATACATAAACAAATAAAAAATCACGTGCAACATTGCTTTAAATTATGCACATAAAAATAAAGAAAAGGGTATACATGCTGAGAGGAAGAATGTTAAATTAAAAATGAGTAAAGTTGCATGAGGATTGATCAATCATTACCTCTGCAGATTATGCTGAAGGTCCGCAAACTTTTTTTCTGTTTCGTGTAATTTTGTAAGAGTCAACAAACTTTCCTTCTGAGAACGGTGCAGTTCGTTCTCCAATTCCAAACTTCTCTTTCCCAGAGACTCCACAGAAATCTTAGAATAAACAATGAAGAGCATAAAATGGCTATATATTCATAGAAAAAACAGATAACAGATATTTACCAGAACACACCTATAAGATAAATGGGTTAAAGAGGATAAAACAGTTTATTTACATGCAAAACTTGAATTATTCATTCACAGGAAGCTATGTGCAAACTTATCATCTATTTTCAAGATCAGATATGTCAAGGAATGTGAAAACGTTGGGTCAATTCCCATTGCAGATGATAGAAATAATATGTTGACAAGCTAAGCGCATATTATGGCAAACATGGTCACAAGTTGAAAGCTTACTTGAATCAGTTAAATTTTAATCAATTCAAATCCAAAACCCTAAAGTTTGAAATGAGTTAACTTTTATTCAAATTGCAATAATAATCTCTAGTTCCAAGTCGAGGCCAACTCACAATAGTTTAGTTTGATATGCATATCACAGCTCCCCAATGTTTTCCGTCACCTAAAAAAAGCAAAAATGCAATTTTTCATTTACAACTAAAAAATCACGACGTCTGTTCTCTATTAAAAATATCAATATTTGTCGCCAAACTTCTTTTTTGCATACATTAGTCCCCTGTTTTTCTAGCATGATTTATATCGTTCAATAGCTGGTTTCCATGGAATTTCATACGATTCACACAAGGGCAAAGAAAGCCTAACGATCACAAGATAACTGACTGCCACCGACTCCTTGGACCTATTCAATACGAATGATCACAAAATATTAATACAGATCCCTCAAAAAAAACAAATTTTTAAATATGAAGCGTAATGATCCTCTAATACACTAACAAAAGAATTTAAAAAAAAACGAAGATTGCTCTAAACCTTGTGAAGGATGATGAAGGATGATAAAAAAAGGAAGGATGATGCTATGGCAAGTATCAAAAAGGAAGGATGATGCTATGGTGAAGGATGATAAAAAAAAACGAGGATTGACAAGTATACAAAAACAATGAAGGATGATGCTATGGCAAACAAAAAAGTAGCATGGCAAAAGGCAAAGGTTGCAAAAATAAGAGAACAACTCAACACTATCTGAAAAACATCGATGAAATAAAATTGCTCTAAACCTTCAGAAAATGGTTCTCCTTCTGTATTTCAGTCATTTTATCAAGATTATTCTGCAGTGCTGCCTTGTCCTTCCTCAGCATATCTATCTCACTTGAAAGAGAAGAGTTCCTATTGCATTCATCAACAATGACAAATTTAGCTGTCTTTAACTCAGCATGCAATAAATCCAAGGATCTCTGAAGCTTTGAAACTTCAACGAGTTTGGTCTCTTCAGCAGCAACCTGCATTAACAGCATCATCAATACAACAAAGCAGCAGTGTCTAAAATTTTGCTTAACATAAAATAAGCGTAGTAGGTGAAGAGAAACCTGAAAAATACTCAACAATGAAAGTACACTTCTCTAAAAAGAAATACCTTCAATAATGTTCAATTTAAGTTGTAATAATACAGGTGCACTCATTTAGTGAAAGAAAACTTCTTTTTTAAAAAAATAGATGTGTACGGATTGCATGACTTGAATACAAAATATGCTATTGGATTTTAATAATAGTAGTAAACTGTGCCATTTATTATAATTATTTACATACTTAAGCATACCCTAAATACTCCAAGGATGGACTCACCAGCTGAGCTCAAGATGCAATTGCTGGCTGGGTTTAAGGAGAACTTGCTAGCGAGGTTTGAAGTAGACTTACTAGCCAGGATTGAAGTGAACCAACCAACCGGGTTCTAGAAAAACTCGGACTCCAAGCTCATGGAGAACTTGCCAGACTTACAACGAGCCTACTGAAACAACTAAGCTCGGCCAAAGTCTCCCAAGACGAGGAGCAACCCAACAACTTCCACTAGGGAGAAATTGACTTCCTCTCGACTAGCCTACTGAGTACCAATCTGAGTTCTCAAGATACAAATTTCTTGTATTTTATAAGCAGGGAATCGACTTCCTTTGTACATTTTCATATATGTACCACATTATGTAGTCGTTTCTGCAGCACCCAAACCCAAACCCCTGCTTATAAATAAAGGGTCAAGGAAAGCAAAAACTACACAATCTGACTTGGACAAGAGTTTCCCGCATGATTGCGAGGAAGCAGGCCAGACAGCCGAACTGGCGGGCATAGGGGACCGGTCAAAGCGACCTGGTCCAGAATTCCAGAGGATCGAACGGCATCAATTTTCGCATCTCTCGCCTAGATCGAGCGAGATTTGGGAAAAAGCGTTATTGAAACCTGGCCATTCTCCTTCCTTTCTTTTCACCTTTCCTTTCTTGTTTCCCACCAAGCTAGGTTTATTTATGTGCTTGTTTCCTGAGTTTAGAAGCAGCATTTTGCTGTGTTTGATTTCAGATTTCCTGTGTGGAGCCTTTTTCCCCCTTTAGGCCTGTAGTCGACGGCTAGGGTGGTGCTCCGGTTATATCTCTCTCCCCAGTGGTGATTGTTTCTTCCTTATTCTTATTTCCAGCAGTCTAACCTGCTGTCCAGCACCTTCTGGCCACACCAAACCACCTGTATCTTTGCTACATCGCTGCCGACCCACCCATTCTTGTTGCCGCTGCCACAGGACAATAAACCTTTGTTGTTCCAGGCGTTTTTGGCCCAATTTCTTGTTGTAGCTGCATAGACAGCTCACCTTCTAGTTGTTCATGACGTTTTCTCACCTCGCCTTCGCTGTCGCCACCCCCGCTAGTCATTCCGACCCACCTAGCAACCTCCACCTCCCTTGGGATGCACTCTCTAGTTGTTCATGCTGTTTTATGTGTTGGTGATGTTATTTTCAGTTTGTGTGTTGTAATCCTATTTCCATATTAATAAAAGTTGTTCTTTTCTGAATGTTAAAATGAAATAAAGTTCAATTTCTGTTATAATCCTATTTCCATATTAATAAAGTTCAATTTCAAAAAATTTATTATTTGCTTCATAATTTATGAATGTTAAAATGAAATAAAGAACCCCAAATTTAAAACTTATTTATAATTAAGTTGTCATTAATGTTAGGTGCCCAAATGAAAATTTTAAAAGCTTTAACACAAAAAAAATTAAATTGTATATTCCTACATATATATGTATATCTGGTTAGCTCATACATATATGTATAGTTATAGTTTTTTATAGGTAAATAAAGAACTTATGACCCTAATGATAGAAAATGTAGAAGCAATAGAAGATAATATTAGCACTAAACAAGAAGTTAATCATATTTAAATTGTTATTATAGGCGCACATAAGAACTAAACTAATATGAGGAAAAGAATAACAGACGACACTGTTGAGGCGAGTAATAAGTTTTTATTTTATAATAGTTCTGTTTATTTCCGCATATTTTACGGTTTCCCAGCATTTCCTTTAAAATGCAGTCGTCTATATTTCCTTTTAAATGTTAAATGCAAGATAAATATATATATATATATATATGAATGATATATATGCATGCATATGAAATTCACCCTTGGATGATACTAGAAGGGGAATGCATTATACTCGTGAACGAAATGAAAATGAATATGGAAAATGTTGTCTACCTTTATGGTGGTGAGTTGGAAAATGTTAAACCTATATTTTTATAAAGCATAAGCTTAGACATTGACTCCCAATCATGAAAAGTATAACCTAAATATATAAAAGGAAATGAAATTGTTTTCTCTACTGCTCTCTTTTACTGCACAGTATTTTATTTTTCCTGCTCTTTTAGAAAAATATTTTAAAAATAAGAATTATTATAATTTAGAAATATTTACCCACTGAGTAGTTTTAACTCAAACCATAGTTGCTAGTATCTTTATTGAAAAACTAATTATTGATTAGATGGATCCCACGGAGCACAGGTATAAGCGTCATGGAGAGCAAGCTAATAAGTATTGTAGTTTAGTTTATTTTCAATTTAAATGTAACGGTTTAAATATGACTAATCAAAAGTAAATAAATTTTTTTGTATAGAATGACTCTTTTATGCATTGAAATTTTATGTTAAGAAATGAAACAGTTAGATAGATCTCTTATGTTTGACCGTTAGTTCTCATCTTGATAATTCCAATCTCACTGAACAGGGTCGTGCAGCCGCCGCCCATGGATAGCTAACCTTTGTTGTTCCTGTCATTTCTAACCCAATTTCTAAATGTAGATGCACAAAATAGTCTGCCCTCTAGTTGTTCTTGTTGTTTTCCCACCTCGCCTTCACTTCCACCACCCTCTCTAGTCATCCCGGCCCACCTAGCAACCTCCACCACCCTTAGGATGCACTATCGAGGTATTTGTTGTCATTTTATATGTTGGTGATATTATTTTCAGTTTGTGTGTGTTATAATATGAGGAAAAGAATAACAGACGACACTGTTGAGGTGAGTAATAAGTTTTTATTTTATAATAGTTCCGTTTATTTCCGCATATTTTACGGTTTCCCAACATTTCCTTTAAAATGCAGCCGTCTATATTTCCTTTTAAATGTTAAATGCAAGATAAATATATATATATATATATATGAATGATATATATGCATGCATATGAAATTCACCCTTGGATGATACTAGAAGGGGAATGCATTATACTCGTGAACGAAATGAAAATGAATATGGAAAATGTTGTCTACCTTTATGGTGGTGAGTTGGAAAATGTTAAACATATATTTTTATAAAGCATAAGTTTAGACATTGACTCCCAATCATGAAAAGTATAACCTAAATATATAAAAGGAAATGAAATTGTTTTCTCTACTGCTCTCTTTTACTGCACAGTATTTTATTTTTCCTGCTCTTTTAGAAAAATATTTTAAAAATAAGAATTATTATAATTTAGAAATATTTACCCACATAGTAGTTTTAACTCAAACCATAGTTGCTAGTATCTTTATTGAAAAACTAATTATTGATTAGATGGATCCCACGGAGCACAGGTATAAGCGTCATGGAGAGCAAGCTAATAAGTATTGTAGTTTAGTTTATTTTCAATTTAAATGTAACGGTTTAAATATGACTAATCAAAAGTAAATAAATTTTTTTGTATAGAATGACTCTTTTATGCATTGAAATTTTATGTTAAGAAATGAAACAGTTAGATAGATCTCTTCTGTTTGACCGTTAGTTCTCATCTTGATAATTCCAATCTCACTGAACAGGGTCGTGCAGCCGCCGCCCATGGATAGCTAACCTTTGTTGTTCCTGTCATTTCTAACCCAATTTCTAAATGTAGATGCACAAAATAGTCTGCCCTCTAGTTGTTCTTGTTGTTTTCCCACCTCGCCTTCACTTCCACCACCCTCTCTAGTCATCCCGACCCACCTAGCAACCTCCACCACCCTTAGGATGCACTATCGAGGTATTTGTTGTCATTTTATATGTTGGTGATATTATTTTCAGTTTGTGTGTGTTATAACCCTATTTCCTATTAATAAAAGTTTTTTTTTTTTGATATGGGCTTCCTCCTCCGGTATCACAATTTTATGCAGCCTAGCCCAAAAATACCATAATATTAAAAATTATAGTGGATTTATCCTTCTCTTGTCTCTCTTTTTTCCCTTTTTTTTCTATATTCCTCATTCTAAGTATGATCTTAGTGTAATTTATGGATAGACAAATCAGGATTCAACATCTTTAACAGGTATAGTGAGCATGAATCTATACTACAAATCAGAAGAGAATCACATAAATATGTAGGAAGAGCCCATAGAGAACTAACTAGAAAAGCACCAACTAGAGAAGCTTCCAGTCACCATAAAATAGGAGTTTGTAACCACCAAGTAGTTGACTAAGATGGAGCAAAGATTCAAGAGAATAATTCAAGGGGTCCTAGAGTAGATACCAAGAAACACACCCAAAGTGCAGTCATTAGAAGACTCAATTGATTCGATGGTTATAAGAAGAAACTTTAAAGCTAGAGTCCTCCCATCCATTGATGATGAAACATATTACCCAAATTCTAATCTAGATTTGTCATTCTCACCTTATTGAATGAGAGGTGACTTGAGAAGATAAAACTACAACTTTCCAATGCCTTCTCAACGAAAATCGCAAAGGCAAAGCCACCCACCAAATTTAAAATCCCACACTTGAACTTATAGAAATGCCAAACCGGCCCAATCGACCAAATAATATATTTTGAGCCCTCCTCCATCTCATTGGTTTGAAAATAATTCACAAATTTTAAAGAATCACATTTACATCATGCTTTGTGTTACAATGCCTAATAAATAATAAAAAAAATTGAAAGTGAATATTTACCCCCATTGTATGAGCAAAAAATATAATAAAAAAAAAGGGACCAACCTTCCAACATAATAATTATAAATTTG